TCTCCAGGAGGTGCAAACCCCGCTGCTACTGACCGAGAAGGTGCTTGTTCCCCGCACGCAAAGGCAGAAACTGGCGGAAATTCTCATGGAAAAACACGGGGTGACAGCCGTTCATTTTGCCCAGAGTCCTGTTCTTGCGCTGTACGCCGCCGGTATCTGCTCCGGCACGTCTGTAGAGATGGGCTACAACGCATGTCATGTCGTCCCTGTCTTCCAGGGCTACCCGTTGTTTCACGCGACACACATGCTTAATGTCGGTGGAGATTTATGCACGCGTCAAATGATGTCCACCGGGCCTGAGTTGCCAGCGATGGTGCATCCGAATCACCGCATAGATGTTTGGTCCCATTTGAAGGAAAAGTACTGCGAGACCTGCCCGGAGGGTGCCGTGTTTCGCCAAGCGCGAGAGGAGGAGGCGGCAAACAAAGTCGCTATTTCTAGCGGTAATAGTGACGGTATCACAAGTAAGTACGCGGTGCGGCATCGGCTACCGGATGGTACAATCATCACGCTTGACTCAAATCGTTTTGTACCGGCAGAAATGCTGATTGATCCTTCTCTTGTGTCAAGCGATGTACTCAGCGGTGATCAGTTTTTCATTGATAATGTGGAGCGGCTCCGTACATCCACAGAGCCTCACGGTCTCCCCAGGCTCATTTTAGGGTCTTTGAACGTATGTGACCGTGATATTTCGCCTCTACTAGAACGGTCGATTCATCTTTCCGGTGGATGTTCCATGATACGTGGGTTCCCTGAGCGTTTGGACAGTGAACTCAATACGTTTATGCCTCATACCTTTCATGTTACTGCCCGCACCGAGCGTCGTCATGCCGCCTTTGTGGGAGGCTCCATTTTGGCGTCACTTCCGACTTTTCAGGAGTTCTGGGTGACGAAGTTGGATTACGAGGAGTCTGGCCCGTCTGCCGTGCTGCGACGTTGTTTTTGAAGTGCATCCATGACTGTTTGTCTCTCCGTGTGTTTGTGTGTGTTTCTGCGGAGGGAAGGAAGGAGCGACGGAGCATGATATACGTGTGTTGGTGGGCAAAGAGTGGAGAGACGAAGAGGGTGCGGTGTGGAGCAGCATGTGTAAACACAATGGTGTTTTTGATGTACAGAAAACGACATTCTCTTTTTTTTTTTCTCTCTCTCTCCTCCCATTCTGTCCCTGTATGTGTCTGTGTACATGTCTCTGTGTATGGCCCACTTACTGCGCTTCCCTGGGGTGGGTTGTGGCCAATGTCTCTACCTCAGCACGTCTTCTTATAACTGCTTTTTTTTTTTTTTTGAGGCATAGAGTGAACAGCTTCAATCAAGGTAAACAAATTAGTTAACTATCAGGAAGGGAGAAAGACACACACTCACACATCGCACAGGTAATAATAACAACAAACAAAAAGGGAGGGAAATCAAAAAAAAGAGAAGGGTGTATTTTTACTGCCAGCAATCAAAGTGCACACCTTGTCTGTTTTATTTTATTTTATATACATATATACATATATATCTTTCCTCCGTCTTTCTTGCCTGTGTGTCTTGCTCGCCTCTTCTTTGCATTGTTTTTTTTTTTCCCCCAATGGAGCCACTGAGAGCGGCCAGCGTGGAGAAGCCCAGGCGCACCAGCTCCGTACCAGGGAGTCTGACGCGGGCCTCGCATAGGCGTAGTATTCCACAATCACTCGTAGATGCATTGTGCGCCGCACGTGAGAGTTTTGAACGTTACGGAGTGATATCTTTGTTGGAGACCGCCGTAAGAGCGCCTGTTGATGGGGTACGTGAAGCCACCCTGACGGTTCTGAAGGACGATAGGGGTGAGAATCCACAGCAGCAGCAGCAGCAAATGGAGTTGTCGACCTCGCTTCCAGGTGTCTCACCAGCTCCACCAACGACAGTTTCATCGGGCGAAGCGAAGATGGAAGCCTGTGCTGCTTCCACAGTGCGGGTAATAGGAGAAACGGTAGAAGGTGAGATGTCCACAACGACGGCGGTCACAAATAAACCAACGTCTATTGTTTCCGACCCCCCAAAGGAAAAACTTACTGCCTCATTTACATGCCTTTCATACGATGCCACCGTAACACGTGAGGCCATGAAACGACTGAAGCATGTGGTTGAATACTGTCCAGGGAGGACGGCAGCATTCCTTGAGCAACTTCGCGAGATTGTAGCGACGACAGTGCCTGAAATACCAGCAGCTCCTCCGATTGCGGTGTCGAGGTTGAAATCCAATTCCTCTGCGTATCACACAGCACGCCAACTCGAGGCATTGTCGGAGTTGTGGGGAAATCGGCGAGATGCCCCTGTTTCCGTGTCCAGCACACTTGGGCGGAAACGTGGCTTGTTTGGCGAGGTGGAGCGAAAGGAGCTACACCACCTCGTCATCTCCATCCTTAACCGTGTCTCCAATGACACGGAAAAATACCGTGAGGTTAAGAACGAGTTACTGCGACTACCCATTCCCGAGGCCAATGACGCGATGCTGGCAAAAATTGTTGATGTCTTTTTTCTAAAGGCGGTGCGTGAGCAACACTTCTCCAACCTGTACGCTGATTTAGTCTCTGCGCTATGCAAGGTACCGGGGGGTCAACGAATTGTGGGCGACAAGCAGCAAAGTCTTGAGTACCGAATGCGGCAGCAGCTCCTTCATCGCTGCCAGATGGAGTTTCGGCAGCTGGAGGAGCAGAGCATAGAGCGGGCTGAGCGAGGTGGGGAAGATCGCGCCTCTCAAGGTGCGGAAGAAAGTTTTAAGGAGCGGCGGGATCGGGTTTGTGGCATTGTGCGGTTTGTGGGTGAACTCTTCCTACGTCATATTGTGACAGAGAAGGTGATTGGAAACATTCTTGTGACAGCCTGCACGGGGCTGTACGGTCGTGAAGGATTGTGTGTCCCCCCGCCCTACACACCGACGGAGTCACAGATGGATGAGACCATCACGCTACTAGGCATCGTGGATGCGACCTTCTTTCGTACCCCGTTGGGATCATCCATGTTGGTGGAGTGCACCCAATTCCTGCAGCATTGGTCGTTGCGTCATCCGGTGTCGCGCATTAGGTTCCTTCTGATGTCTGCCGTTGAGAGGCTACAGAAGTTGGTGGAGGAGCGGAACGCTGCCATTGCTGCATCACAAGAGCAACTACAACTACAACAACAGCAGCAACAGACAACGCAAACTGCTGACGATCCGCAACAGGTGCAGCAATCTGTTCAGGATGGAAAACGGTTGACAAATGGTTCTGTTATCCTGCCACAACCCCTTAGTCCGAGCAACGAAGAAAGTTATTTTAACTCCACAGGAAGTCGATCTACATCGGCGATGGCGAATGACATGTCAGTAAAGAGCAAGCAGTTAGTGTTTGTGGGTGGTAAACCCATCCCCGCCCCGCGGAGCGCCGCATCTCGCCAATGCAGCGTCATGTCAATTACCTCGAGCAATTGCTTCACAAACTTCAGTGTCCAATTGACGAAGCAACTAGCCACATCCGAAAACGTGGCGCAACACATGCAAAATGTTACACTTGCCACACGCAGCTTGGAAGAAGTGGTAGAGGAAATAATGAAGAGCTTTGCAGATTACATTGCCGTTGTGGGAGTTTGGACGGAGCGCTGTTTGACTGTCGTCAAGGCGGTGAAGGATCGCTCGTTGTATGGTGCCTTCCTGTCCTCCCTAAACCGCTATCATAAGGGAACGTCGAAGCAGGAACTGCGCAAGGTTGCCATGAGCACATTTGCCAACGCGGTGTGCCAAAGACTGCATGAAGATTTGGGCATTTTTAAGTACTGGGCAGCGATGATTTTGAGTGATACAATGCGGGAAGTGCTAGACGAAGACCTGCTCAATGAGGCGCTGCATTATTTGTTAGTCAACGACCCGGCCGCGGTGAAGGTATACCTGCGCGATGTAGCCAAGCATATGCAAGCCGCCTCTAGTAGTCCGCGAACACCGAGCGATGAGACCACGAATTTTACGCGTTACCGCCCACTGCAAGTTGTCCATCGACACAACACTCACCGTAAGAGGGAATACGAGCTGAACGTGGTGAACTTCCCCGATGTTCGTCTTGCGAGTATGGAGATCCATGTCTTCTGTGCACTTATTACGGGAACACCCTCGAAGGAGGCTCTTTTTGATGCCGTGCGCTCCTCATCCTACCTGCGCTGCCCGCTAATGGCTCCCGAGATCTTTAGCGCCATCCTGCATGCGGAGCTCTGCAGCAACACCACCGCGTACTTGGAGGACAACTTGGACCTGCTGAGTTTAGTCGTGGACGGCCAGGACCGTGAGATACGCGAGCTGCTTCTTGTCGCGGAGTTGTACGTTGTCTTGAAGGAAGGCTCCACCGAGTCCTTGCGACCGCTTTCGGCAGGCGCGCATGTCATGGCGAAGTTGGGCGATAGCATCATTTCCGATGAGACAAGGCTGCGAGCGCAGAAATACTTCGAGTCGCGCGATGACTGTGCCCATCACTACATTGGCGCGCAGTCCGCACAACTGCAGGCACGCCACGTCCCCAGCAGCGGCAGCAGCAGCGTCGTCAACAACAGCAGCAGCACGAACAGCAACAACAATAACATGAACACAAACAGCGTCGTTCGTCGGCCCGCGATTCAGCGCCGGTGAGGGGAAAATGCCGCTCTTACCTTCCTTTTTTCTGTTCTCTTTTTCATTTGAATCATTCATTCCGTTTTTTTTTGTGTTTTTGTTTCCGCGGTTGTTTGTTTGATTTTGTACTTTTTTCCTTTTTGTTTGTTTGTTTTGTTTTGTTTTTAGTTTCCCCGCGCCCCCCTTTTCCTCCTCCTCCCCCTTCTCGTCGTCCACTGAAAGAAATGACCCTTTAAAAAAATAATAATAAAAAAATAAAATTGAGGAAACCGAACAGTAGAGAAGAAAACAAAAGGACCGAAAAGAAAAGAAAAAAAAGAAAAATGGGTTTGAAAAGGGGGCGGGGGGAACACAAAAGTTTTTTAAAGGCGGAAAGAAAATAACAACAACAACAAAATTAAGAAAAAAAGTGAAGTGAGTCTTGGAAGAGAAAAGCACGGAGGGGGAAAAGGAGGGGGGAAGAAATAAAAGGCACCGAATTAAAAATAAAAAAAATAAAAGGGAAGGGAGGGGGAGGAGGAGAAGGGGAGAAAAGAAGAAGAAGAAAAAAAAAAGTGGCTAAAAGGAGTCTGCATGCACGTCCGAGTGCACATTTTTGTGTGCAGACGCCATTAACATGCCCACATACTTTTTTTTTTATTCTTTTTATTATTTTTCTTTCTTTTTAGAGGCACTGAGCGTGTCACGTGCCCCATTGGAAAGCGGAGGCAGCGTTGAAGGGGAAGTGCAGGAGGAGGGTGGGTGTGGCGGCGAGAGCGAGAGGGGAATCTTCTCCCACCACCACCTGCAATAAAAGGGGAGAATAAACAGCGCTCCCCTCACAGGAGGAAAAAAGGAAAAAAAAAAAAAGGGAAACGAGGAGGAGGATAGTCGGGTGGGTGGGTTTGGGGATGCGAAATGCGTCTCTTTGCATTAAAGCCAAAGAAAAAAAAAAAGAAAAAATTTTTAAATAAAAAGAAAATGAGAGTATACTTTACGTAAGATGCCATGGGAAACACGGATGATTACCATCTTTTCCACAAGCACAACGCTGCAAGGGCTCCCTGTGGAAATGGGGAGGAGGAAGGGCTTTATTTTAGGCTTGTTTTTTTCTTACATGTGTCTCTGCGTATTTATGTATGTATGGGCCCTCCCCTTTTTCACTTTTTTGTTTTTGTTTTTTTTTTATTTTATTTTATTATTTGCCCCTATCGCTTACACCTTGTGGATGTTTGGATCTCACACACACACACACACACACATAAATAAATATTTATATATTTTCTTGTGTGTGTGTGTGTGTGTGTATGTTTTAAATGTGCGGATGCATGGGCGTTATATCTATGCAGGTGACGCATATTGCAATATTGAAA